AAGTCAATGCACGCCCTACTAGAAACAAGTACTCGGAAAGGTAGGTTTTGAGGTGGTTTAGGGGTTGAGTATCCCGTATAAGGATCGTGGTACTCGTTGGACGTTTGGTGAGAGGTGGAATATGCGAGATGGACCATGAAGAGAGTGGGATAAGAACTCTCTCTACTCGGGTGAATAGTCTACTCGGGTGAATAGCAAAGAACGGGAGGTAAGAAGGGGGCTTATCTCGATAGGCATTACTTTCGGAAGACGATGAGTATTCTCCTTCAGTCTTGCTGTAGCACGGGACTCAAGGTAAGCTCCAGCGAGGCAGGAGACAAAGGTTTTCCCCTCCTCCTCTTGTTTTAGTGATTTTTTATCGTCTCCTCTCTCGCTTTGAGATTAAATCCGCCATTTTGGTCATCTCTTTTCGGATCTGGGATCCCTTTCTCTTTTGGCATTGGCCCTTCTTTTATACTCCCATTCCACTCGATTTATCCCCTCCTCTGCGGTGCGTCGCGGGAGCAGGCGGTTAAGTACAACACGCTAGCTTGGTAAACTCGTCACCTGTCCGGGAACAATCCGCTAGAGGGTTGGTAGCAGGTCTAGTGGGAAAAGTCAGTGCTCGCACGGAGTTCAACATCCACGTGTCTCATTGAGATTGATCGTGGTAAAAGTGACCCAACAGACGTATGTGATGTAACTAACCAATGAAAAAAAAGTGTTTAACATTTTTACTTACGTGAGCGATGCTTTTATTATGGAATTTTCAACATTAAAAATACTAGAAAATTGTATATATAAGTGTTCGACCCACTTTTACCATTACCAACCTTGAGGCGACGCATGGTAACTAGGTCATGTCTGAGCGCTGACTTCTCTATCTAAGCATGCCATCGGTTTCCTAGCAAACTATTCATGGGCAGGTGGCGGGTTACCAAGTCAGGCACGTTGTACTAGTCCACCTGCTCTCGCCGCGTGCCGCATGGATAAAACTGGTCGAGAAAAATGGAGTATAAAAGAAGGCCTAAGACCAAGAGGAAAAGGGGTCGCACCTTGGATGAATCCAAAAGAGAGAGGAAACCTAGAAAGATTATGTTGTAAAGGAGAAGAAGAGGGAAGACCTCTTACCTCCATTCTGCTGAAGCTCACCTCGGGCCTTGCGATACAGCGAGACTGAAAGGAGAATGTTCACCATCCCTTGGAAAGAACATCTACTGAGATAAACGTCGTTTGTTTTTTACTTATATAGAGAGAGTTTATGTCCCGTTTTCTTCATGATCCATCTACTACACTTCCACTTTCACCGAATATCAAATGGATATCACGATTTTTGGATGTGATACCCAAACCATAAACACTCTATTCTCGTGAGTATTTATTCCTCATAGAGCATATATTGACTTGAGCATTCAAAAATCTTTTAAAAAAAAATCTTCTTTCGATTCTTCTAAAAGCCTAAGATGTGTCATATGGATAGGCGGAGACAACGAGCTATATATTTGGTATATCCACGGTAGCGTATCCATATAGATTTTATAACTAAAGGACTCTCCTGTGTATCCATATTATTATAAATATTTATATCCATAGTAAATATGTCATATGGATAGACGGAGATAACAAGATATAAATGTTGATATGTCTACAAAAATGTATTTATATAAATATTTGCAGATATTTACAAATCGTAATAAAAGTTTAGTTATCTATAATAATAATAAAAAATAGATAATTATCTTTTTAATAGATGAAAGTACTATCTTTGCTTAAAATGCTCTTTCTTAATATTATAGTTTAAAAAAATATTCTATTTTGTATCAAAAAAATTATGAAATGGTTGACAATTTTAGATCCTCACCAACAATCTTTTTTTTTTCGTAAAAATTTCTTTAGTAAATTATAAATATGTAATTAATGGACGAGAATATAGAAAACAAAATTAAACGGAATGTAATCCTCAGAAATATCTAAACTATTAAAAGAGGATTATACTTAAAATATGTCCAAATCTTATTGTGGTATTTACAAGTCATGCCATTGGATTTGCTACAGAATTTCATGTTTCCATTAAGGATATTTTTGTCATTACAATTTATACAACTGATATTATTACTTGGTTTTATTACTGAAAAAAAAGATTAATTAGATCCATCAGAAACCGAAAAGGTTGTAGTTTCATCTTCGTAATTGAATGAAAGATAATTATCATAGATGGTATCTTCAATAGCCACAAACTTGAGATTCTTCTAGGTCCTCTCTATTGCTTCCTTCGACTTATGTGTAAACAAGAATCAGAAACGATACTAAACCCAATCGAATGAGTGTCGATTTAAATCCCTAAATTTTTAAAAGGGGGGAAAAGACCTAAAGGGGATCCTGCGGATCGTCAACGGAAATGAGAAGGAAGATGAGGTCGGATTCGTCGATATACATCATGGGTTCGTGGAAGGGTAAGACCTGATTTTGCTACACAGATGAGAAAGAGATCGGAATTAGCATAAAACAACAACGATGTAAAATTGAGTGTAAGAGAAGAGGAACAAACCCATTGAGAATGGCTAACGCTAGGGAAGTGGAGGAACTGAGAGAGAGAGAATAAGAGCAAAAGAGATTAGCTTTGGTAAGATGGAGACTGGAGACGTATAAGAAGAAGAAGAAGGAGAGAGTGGTTGTGTTGTTTGGTTTTTCATTGAACTCACAGACAAGAGCTTGGTGCTGCCTCTCGGCCGTGGCGGGGGGATGAGTTGCAAACTGCCGACCAAACTCATGTTGTAGTTTATGGTTCTTCTCTTGGCCGTGGCGGAGCTGTGTAGCTTCGATCTCAAAATCTGATTCTCATCTTAGATCTGTCTTCTCTCCAAGTCGTATTGAAATTGCAGAACGATTATGGTTTTAGGGATTTTTCTTTGATTCGATTAATAGATACTTTATCCGATTTTTTGGCTGTGATTTCCTTTTCTCACTTTTCAAAACTTTTCAATAGATTGGCTGATTTGTGATTAAGTTTCTCAATTTCTGACTTTTTTGTTTGTTGTTGTGATTGCCCGGAGCTTCGAAACGATGTTCTATTTACTTTCTATTGAACTTACATAGTTAGAGATTATAACTTTTTATTAGTAGCAAAACAATGTGGTTCAGTTTGGTAATTTCTCAGTTTTTGTTTTGTGTTTTAGTTGGCATTGTAATTCATTTCATTGTCATTAATCTAATTTAGTATATAACATTTTTGTTAGACTATGATGGATTCACCATGGAATATTTAAGTCTTAGTCTCTGACATTTGTGAAGTGTGAACTTAAATAGAAGAGGTTATAAAATTTTGTAAATGAATATTAAGAACATTATTCGTTTTGAATCTATATAAAAAATTTAGATGCAAATTTTTTAAAATAATTAAAAGTAATATATTTTTAGAATTTTCTTTTTATCTATATAAAAAAACATGTTCTAAAACATGAATGTAGATTTTCACGAATTTTACAAGTTTGACGGAAAAACATGATTTTGAAAAATTGCTTATAAAAACAAGGTTTTACAGTATTAATAGGAAACATGATTTTTCGTTTTTACGGGTTTTACAAATATTACGGGTTTACATGTTTTGGCAAGAAAATATACAGTTTTATGGATTTTATGGGAGATTTTGCAGTTTTGATAGAAAACGCAATTTTGTGGAGTTTACAGGTTTTGACAGATTTTATGGTTATTAGCAGAAAAATGTAGTTTAACGAGAAAAACACGCGTTTGCAAGTTTGTTAGAAATGTGATTTTGTAAGTTTGGCAAAATCACATAATTTTTATAAATTTGACCGTAAATCACTTATGTTTAAAAGATTACACCAAAAAAAGAAGTATATGATTTACCAATTCAATTACTAAACTTTTCAAAATAATAAATAATTAAACTTACAGAGATTAAATATAAAAACATGATAAATTTAATTTAATTTCAAAAAATTACAAAGTCATAATTTAACTAATATTTGCACAATATCATGAATATAAAGAATATACCCAACTAATTTAAAGAAAGAAAAAAACCCAATCAAATCGTAATCCTATATAAATATTTTTTTAAAATTTTTACTATTAAACCATTATTCATTTTCATACGCTTATATTCAATAAATATATTTTTTATACAAAACATTATCATGATTAGGTTAGTTTTTTTGTAGTACAATAAGCAGATTAGAATCTGTAAATTTAAAATTTTCAACACATCTTAAAAATATATTTTTTTTCTATACAAAATATAAAATATATAAGGGATAACAAATAACAAATGCTTGATATCCTAATAATGGGTTAAAAATTTAATAGATTATATAATCCATATATACCAAAAATTTAGTAAATTACTTCATGTTTTCTTGGCGGAATTAAGTTAATATTTGACATAATATCAGAAATTTAAGGAATATAGCCAATTAATTTGTTAACAAATTTTGGTAATCATAATCTTTTGTAAATATGCTTTAATTTTTTTTACTGTCCACCTATTATTTATATTTCTATATTTTAATTACCTAACCTTCATAAATATATTTGGATATACAAAAAACAAAATTGCCACATTTAGATAGAATCTTTTTTTTTGGTTTGCACAGGGGTTATAATATAAACTTAAAAATTATCACTATATTTTAAACGTTACACAAATATTTTTTTCATATAAAATATATAACATAAAAACGATTAAAAATGAAAAAATCTTTTTCTACCTTTATAGCAGGTTAAAAGTTTATTAAATGGATGTAAATAATATATTTATATCAGAAATAAAATTAGATACTTCTCATGATTTTCAGGTATAAAAATATTTTGTCTAAAAGAAAAATAAAAATTATAATTTTTTAAAAAAATTGTAAATTAATTAAGATGAAATATAAAAAAATTATCGTCTATTTTTAAGATAGATTAAAATTACAACTTCAAATTTTATATAAAAAAAATATAACCCGCGCAAGGCCGCAGATCCAAAACCTAGTAATAAGATTATAAGAGTATTATTGATTGGAAATATAGAAGTGAATTGAGTGTGTGATCCTCATACTACATAAGGTGAAAATGAATTTCTAACATAAAAGCTACTAAAAAAAAAAAAAATTTGCCGCGATAAGAGCTCTCCAGTGGAATGTCGAATTTTGAAGAATGCAAAACAGCTTTTGCTCTCTTTAATTAACCTCTTTTATAAGTTAACTCTGTTTCGTGTAATCAAAGTAAGTGCCTCGCCAACGAAATGTGATCCTCACGAATATAATAAGATTATAAGAGTATTATTGATTGGAAATATAGAAGTGAATTGAGTGTGTGATCCTCATACTACATAAGGTGAAAAATGAATTTCTAACATAAAAACTACTAAATCAGAAGAAGAAAAAAAAAAAATTGCCGCGATAAGAGCTCTCCAATGGAATGTCGAATTTCGAAGAATGCAAAACAGCTTTTGCTCTCTTTAATTAACCTCTTTTATAAGTTAACTCTGTTTCGTGTAATCAAAGTAAGTGCCTTGCCAACTAACATGCTCACCATCATTGACAATATTGTCACATTCTTTTTTCTTTTCCCCTGCAACAAAAAGAATAAAGTATTTCATCACTAAACACTCAAAGGTAATTTGGCATAATTAAATAAACCCTAAAGAGACATTGTTAATCATAACATGAGTTATGTGAATATAAGTATCATGATATCATCACATTTGTCAATTTTAAAGGCTCGTTTTAAGGAAATTGACATGAAAGAAATGTATCAAGTTTGATTATGAAGTTGGATAATTAGTTTGTTTAAATCACATTCCTAAATTGGTACTAACCCTTTCATTCAATTATTTATAACAAAAAAAAATCTAGAAATGGAATAATTTTTAGTGCACATTAAAGTTTGTAACTTAAGGTTGAAAAAAATCAAATCTTTTCGCTTTACTCAACAAAAAAAAAAAAATCGCAACTTTAACGAAAAAAGAAAAATGCGAAGAATCTTACCGGAGCTGACGAAATCGCCAAATAACCGGTGGAGGCACTATCCGGCGCCGCCGGCATCATTGGCGAAACCGGCATTTTTCCCCCTCCTCCTCCTCCTCCTCCTCCTCCTCCTCCGCCACTGCTACTATTACCACCACCGTCTCCGCCGCTACCCCCTTTTACGACGTCGTTTAGAGTAAATCCAAGCGAGTAAGCCTGAGTCCCGTCAGGTTTAAACAGCCCGTAATTTCTCTCCGACGTCGGACCAGGTTTCAGGTTCTCGTTGAAGAGAGCAAAAACGTAGATGCTAAGATCGTTGTTCGGTCTTAGGGGCGTTTTCGTCTTTTTACCCATCATCAGCTTGATCAGGTTCCCGTTATACTTCTTCGCGTTCTCCGGCGTGGCTCCGAACTCGTCATCGTCTCCTTTCGACGGCCATCCCGTTTCCGATATCTGGACCTTGAGTGATTTGTATCCCGCCGCAGCTAAAGCAGAGTAAACGGCGTCGATCTGCGCGAAGAGCATGTTGTCGTAGTGGAATCCGGTGGCCGGATCTACGATTCCTTGATTCGCCTGAAAGAGGACGAAATCGAGAGGGATCTCTTTAGGGTTTCCTTTGTAGGCGAAGAAAGGGTAAGCGTTGATTAAGAACGGAGAATCTGTTTTCCGGTGGAATTCGAGGATCGGTTGGAGGCAATCGATTAGATCTGGGTGGAATTCGCCGGCGGAAGGAGGGAACGAGGTCTGGAGGATGGAGAGAGAATGCGCGGTGGTGACGGCGATTCGATCGGAGAGTCCGGCGGTGACTAAAGCGGAGTGGACTCCTTGCATCGCCGGGAGGAGGCTATCGGTGAGGGAAGAGTCGTTTAAGGCGAGGATTTCGTTTCCGATTGTGATGCAGGTGATGTTCGTCGCCGGTAAAAATGGAGTCACGTTCTGTTTGATCCACGTTAGGGCTTTGGAAGGGTCTTTCATTTTGGAGAGATACTCGTTGCCTAGTCCGACGATGAACTCGACGCCGGTGCCGGAAAAGGCTTTGAGGATCTGAGGGTTTGCATCGTAGAGCTTCACTTTGGTTGCTCCGATTGATTTCACTAGTGGAACTACTTCTTCCGGTGAAGGGAGGTTATCTCCGATTTGACCGTAGTTTACGCCGATTGAAATCACCGTCGCCGGGAGAAAAACCACCACTGTGTATCAGTGTCATCATTGAGGTTTAAAACGACGTCGTGGTAATAAACTGTGATAAATCAAACACTTAAATGATAAGGAAAGAAGTTGTAAGATACGACGAACCTGAGAGGAGGAATAAGAGGTAAGAAGAAGAAGAGTGGTGGAAGGTGTTAAGCTCCATTGATGTGGAGGAATCCGGGAATGCCGGCGGTGGTGGCCGGCGGAGAGGAGAGAGAAGTGGTGATGGATGTGGAATCGAAAGGAGACAATATGCAGAATTGTGTCTTCAGTTTATTAAACAGTGGAGGTGGTCGGACAGAGAGAGTGAGCGTCGGGAAGCTGAGGTTTGTGTTGTATTGATTCGTTACTACATTACTTTTAATTATTAAATTGTTGATTTGGGATATTTTTTGAGTCGGCAATTCTAGGAGGGAATCTCGATGTGGCTTGAGTATATATGTGTATTTTTTAATAATAGTCATGAAGTAATAAAATCGGTAATATATGTTGGTGAAAATATATGTAACGGTTATCAAAACAGATCGTTTTAGACTCATTAGAAAATTCAATGAATGTGATATTTGACAGCTACTGAGAATTAGTTAGATGATAAAAGTTGAAATTATAAAAACAAAAAACTATCAAAATATCCGTTATCAACGCCAAACTTTTAAAACTTTTAGTTTGTTGTGAACTTGCGTTGGTTACAAGAAAAATACATGTACGTATATATTAAAAGAAAACGAATCTAGAGAGCAGCAAAAGATGAAGAAAAAGGAATGAAAAAGCAAGAAAACAAGCTTCACATGGACGATTCATTCACTGATTAAAACCCTAAAAAGACTTTTTATTTATCAATTTTATTTTGGGGAAACTGACAAAGCTTGATGAATGTCCATCGTTTATTAAAATATCAACGGCTCTGATCTGCTCTGCTCTTTCTCTCATCTCTGACTTTGCGTGGCGTTTGCACTTTGCACCGGCAAAGGTCGGCTCCATTATTCATAATTTAACTTCTACTTAGAAAGTACGATATTTTAATTTATTAAAGAACTAATATTAGTTGATGAATTTTTTCCCTGTTTTAATTAATATAACACATTTCGGATTATACATGTTGGTCTGGGTAAAGAACATATTCTTCCATTAGCCTTCTTTGATGTAGTTGTCGACTTTACACTTTTACAGCTTCCACGTTAGGTTCAACTCATAAACTTTCTAATAATATTTTTTTTCCCATAACGGAAAGTTTTTGTAGCATATCTTTTCTTTCAAAACTTTTATTAAATAATAACAGCAATTTAATTCAACTGAGATTCAAATGAGACTAGTCATCGAAACCTGCTTCTTGTTGAGCAAACACCTAAATTTTAACCTAATTGCATAACCCGTACCAGTACATTTCGTACATATATTCTATAAACAAATCATTTTATGGATAAAGGTTTTAGGTGTTACGTTTTGATGAGCACATTTTTGATAGATAAGATTTGATAAATCTCAATACATATTATGGAACTATTCAAAAAGAGGCTAAACAGAAAAAAAATATATAATGAGTACCCCCCCCCCCCCCCCCCCCCCCCCCCCCCCCCCCCCCCCCCCCCCCCCTCCCAAATAAATAAATTTCTATCTATAATTGTCAAAACCTAAACCCAAACCTAAAACAGATCATCCAGATTTTAGATCAATCTAGATATTACACAAGTACTATCCCAACTCTTATCTCTTTCCAATTTAACAATATTGATCAATGATTCAATTTATTGGAATATATTGGTATTTTTATATCCAAATTCTAATCTATATTATTATTTGAGAAGTAAGAAACGCACCACAGCTCATTTCAGAAAGGGTTAGCGCCTTCTGCCCTTCGTGGAAATATTCTTAGTTAAATTAAGTCGATCGGTTTGGTTTGATTCTTATTGATAAATCGATTGGTATAGTATTTCAACCTTTAAACCGTTTCACATATGATTTTTTGTTGGGCTTTTTGGAATTAGCATCCAATAGATCATTTGAAAAAACTTGGCGGCCTCTCGAAATTATATTACAAAACGAAAACCCTACATTTTTCATAGCTATATATACTCGCATATATCCCATTAATCTAGACGATTGCTTAGGTTTATTTGTTGGTTACTGTCGTGTAGGTCATAGATTAGGGTTTAGTTTTTGTTTCATGCATTATGTTTTGTTTCTTGCATTCTGATTTCCTGTTCTTTGTGTTTCGTTGTTCCGCAGGTAACTTGCAAGCGAGGAAAGCTGTTTAGGTTACATCGTTTTGTTTTGGTGATAGAACTTCAAGGCTTATATATGTTGGTGGTCGTGAGTTCTGTTTGCATAAAAGGTATTGCTTCTTATGTTTTTTACCGTTTCGATTCATCATATGCTGATTACAGCTAATGTTTTGTCATAAAATAGAGATTTTATTTGTTTATTGTGTTGTTTTCCTGATGATGTTGTTTACTGCATTGTCTTTTGCGTTTTGGTTGTATAAATCTACTTTTGCTCTACCATATTGTTTTCTTTGTGCATCAAAATGTTGATTCTTTATACAGTCAACATACTCGGATGACTATCTTGCCTTTCCATCTACCAAGAAACCAGAATAACATTTTCTCGGACGATTTTGCACCACCTGCTCCTGGATATTATTTTCAAACGTCTCAATTCCAGGGTTGGATGGACTACAACAAACATCATCCTGAGTCGAGGCATCTTTTGTATACTGAATTCCCGATTTGGTTCGTTTGGCATAAGAACATTAGAAAATGGCTACTGCGGCGTCGTTGTAGGTCTAGGAGAAGTGGCGTGGTACTTCCCTGTGTGAGGCCAGAAAGTGGTGAGATCTATTATCTCAGGATGTTGCTAGCTGTTGTCAGAGGAGCAACGTGTTTTGAAGATATTAGAACAACTAATGGTGTTTTATATCCATCGTTTGTTGGGGCCATTGGAGTCTGTTACGATTTAGGATTAGTCGAGCGACCTTTTCTTACGGAATAATGATTATTCTGGTGTTGGGTTTTGCGTTTATGTATTTTTCTGGTGTCGTCTGTGGTTTGGATTTCTATATTTTTGATATCTAATAAATAATAAACGAGACTTTTGTTTACTGCCTTATTATATTTGCCATTGTCGAAAACCATTTTTATCGTCTAATTTATACAATGTGGCTATGTGTTATTTTCAGTTTGTATGATTATGTTTTACTGAGGAAGATGAGACTCATCGTAATAGCTTGGTTAAAATATTATCGTTTAGGACGTACAAATGTTAATATGAGTACTTGCATGCGAATTTCTGGTTTGGGTTAGGGTTTTGTATATTTGATTTCGGTGTAAACTTTATGCTATATGTAACGTTATTTTAAGGATATTTTTAACATGCAAGATTTCGAGGATATGCTGTGGTGTCTTTATTTTTATTTTATCATGAGGACATATATATGCTAACGGTGTATACGGCGAACGAAAATTTTGATTAGATAAATATCTAAGACTTTTCTTATGTGGCTGATATATATGATACCTATTTTTTCGAGTTTATATTGTATCATACAAAATTCAGAATATAAACTGAAACATGTATTATATGTATATATATTAATATTTTTCCGGATCTTTATCCTTTTCGAGACTGTTAATTTGCAAGTTTTATCCATATCGGACTTATTCTAAAAATATTATATATTACTATTAAGGTTCGAGTTTATATTGTACCATACAAAATTCAGAATATATTCTGTAACATGTATTATATGTATATATATTAATATTTTTTGGATCTTTATCCTTATCGAAGCTGTTAGTTTGCAAGTTTTATCCATATCGGACTTTCTCTAAAATGTTATATATTACTATTAAGGATATTGGTCTTATATATTGGATCGTATGAAGTCGGTTATACTTAATAGCTAATTTATAAATCAAACAAAAATGTTAGGATAATATCGTGGCTGTGTAGAATATTGTCAATATACTGTATCATGTCTTATAGATATTTTAAATATTTATTCCAATATTTCTCTTTATCGATATTGTTACTTTGTACATGTTTTTTATTAGTATTTTTAATAAAATAGAATATTGTATATATATTCGAGAAATATATCGTGTATTTACAATGTTTTGGGAAATATATTATAATTTTATTACGTCGGTCGTAATTAGTTACCTGGATTTGGTAATTATTTGCTATGGAATATTTTGTGATAATGGCATACCTTTTCATAATCGTTAGCCTTTATATATATATATATATATATATAAGATAGGTATATCTTGCAATTCTGGCTATAAGATACGAGGAAACACCGGCTAAAAATTTCACTTTTATTTTGAGAGTTTACAGAAAGTCCTTTGTTCTTGGTTTGATCTATACAGAGAGATTTTTTATTGTTCGAGTTGGACAATGTCGATTTTCAAGAGAAGACCTGGTTCTTTGGTTAACATAAAAGATCTAACACCACAGACTGATCGCTATAAGATAAAGCTTTGTGTACTCAGACTTTGGGTTAGAGTTGGGCAGATGATGGATGTCGTGTTCGTTGATGCACATGTGAGTTTTTTACGTTTTTTCCTGGTCAAATTAATGTCGTTTCACTGTGTTTCATTTTCTTAAATATATGTTCGATTAACACTCCTAACTAATTATCAAGGGTGAGCGCATACACGCTACACTTGATAAGAAGTGTGTAAAAATATTTCAGGATAAGCTGGTTTGTGGTGGTGTATACATCATCGATACATTCAAGGTTGTTGAGTACAAGAGTGACTATCGGACAAATCGTCACCCTTATAAAATTTATTTTTATCACACCATGGAATTGAGTGATTGTCATGATTTTCCGAAAATCATTCCCGAGAAATATTTTAAGACGTTTGGCGAGATTTTGTCTACTGATTTGGATATGTCATACTTGATTGGTAAGTATTTGGAAGCAGTTATTATGTTAGTCACCTATCCATATGCTTGATAAGTTTAGATTTGTATTTGTAGATGTCATAGGTCAGGTCGTAAGTTTGGGGACCGTTGATCAGGTTATGGCACAGGGGAAAATCAGCATGAGGCTTAAGCTTACTCTTCGTGATACAAGTAATCGTAATTTGATCTGATTGTATTTTCCTGATTCTTATTTATATGTGGTGTTTTCATGATGTGGTTGTAGTGATCTTCGTTTGATGTGCACTCTATGGGATGATTATGCTACAGCGATGGCTGATTATGTAGCTGCAAATACAGGCGCCGTTGCTGTCTGTGTTATTAGACTTGCATGCATTAGAGAATATAGAGGTCTGTCTAACGTAATCTTTCTTGCGTTGGGCGAATATATAATATCCTCTTGTGATGGGTTTATTAAAGTATTTTTTAATAAATGTAGGTGAAATTAGTATCTTCAACTCTTATAGCTCGACTGAGATTTTGCTTAATCCGAACACGGCTCTTATGAAGAGTTTTATTAATGGGTATGTTTATTTTGATTCAGAAGGTTGTTGTGGTGTATTTTTATATCCTGAGTTTTTATATTATATGTATCTAATCATTTATTTGTTATTTCAGGCTGTCTGATGATAAATTTAGTCTAG